GGGGGGGGGGGGGCTAACTTCCCAGACTTCTGTCGATCACCGGCCAGATGCAGAGAATCGTTTAAATCGATGGGCCAGACAAATTGGCTATTTCCTAGCCGCCCACTTTCGTCCGTTCTTCTTTATCTCGATGCAATTGCGGCCCTGCACTCCGTGCACCCTGCGAATGCACATGCAATATACTCGAGTGGCGCTTGCACGCAATTCGACTAGGCGCATCGTACGTATAACCGGAGTTGCTGGCTGTGTCGTCGGTCGCTCTAGGTTCGTATTTGCCGACGGCGTCGCGACGTCGGGCTGGCTTCTCTTGGCACGCGTGTCCGGCTCGTATGTTATCGATCCTCTCGGAGGCGACTTCTCTGTCCTGGCAAATTCGTATTTCAATTTCAACTTCTATGCGCGCTTGACTGCTCGGACGGATAAGGATCAATGGCGGTGGTGCTTTTGAAATATATATACATATACATATGTATAAAACATATACAGCGTAAGTTTAAAGTTTTAAGTCGTTTTCGGGAATGCTTTGAGATAAAATGCATATTTATGGTTAATTCGACGAATATTTCCCCGCCCCCCCCCCTCTCCCCTTCTCCTAGTGATATTCACAGGTCGTTGGTTAACTGGTGGTACTTATCCTTTCGACTTCCCACGATTCCATACATTTCGTTATCTTTCTTCGTGACGCGCCAGTAGGCCGGGAGCCGAATGCCAGGGAGGGAAACTTTAATGAGATGTTTCTAATTAATGCTAAAGGGGTTGCCCGCCCTGTATAAGTATAATAATTCATTAGTCGTTATTAGGCACGCGGATATATCTTTGCTTGATTTTCGCCAGGGGAATTTTTTTTTTTTTTTTTTCCGAGAAAAATACAATGGAACTCTAACGAAGTGGATTTTTTTTTGTTCTTTTAATCTTTATCTCGTCTTCGTCGTACCTCCAATATCAGGATGTAATTTTTAATGGATTAACTGCGATATCGAATTTTCATTAGAATATAACATAAGGATATATCGACAGAGGCTGCCACGTGACACCTATATTTCGTGAACCATAGTAGACACAGCATAACCTTACACTCACGACGCCGTTCTTTCTTTTTTCAGGTGGCTTCACCTGCTGTTTAACCTGGGGGTACAGGTGGTCGTGGGTCTTCCTCTGGAAATGGTACACGGAAGCCTGAGGATCGCGGCGGTCTACATGGCCGGAGTCCTCGCCGGTGAGTAAAATGAAAAAATTTTTATATTTCCTATTAAACGAAACGACGTTACCCGCAATTATAAGTACGACCGGAGGGCCATTACGGGGTAATAAATTCTTCGAAGAAATTTCTTAGTTAAATCCACGTTTCCCAGACTCGTAATAATCCCAGGTCATCCGAATCTCATGAAAACGGATGTTTTGCCAGACCGTGAGGCTTCCCAGTGCCACATGACTATTCATATATACATCAGCATACAGTCATATACCATCCGGCTTTTACATGGTTGGTTCCTGAATTCTTGGTCCTCTCCTTCCTTCCTGCCTCGTGGCAATAGGGATGACAATGGGGGACGCCACCCTCGTGTACACTGCAAGGGGTTGCTTCTGAGCCTCTTGTCTCGGACGGGTCGCGAACATCCGTGTACACCTAATTGCTATTAGCATAAATTCGATTAGAGGCGGACAGTGGAGTTTATTAGCAGTCATGAAAGTAAAACGTTGCAAATGGGTTGCATGAATAATAATAAATCGAAGGGACGTCGGGTAGGTGCTCCGTATACGTGGGTACAGGTGGATAGAGATTAGCAGCGAGTTATAAGATCGGGAAGAGGGGTGGTAACGGGTGGGGAGTGGAGGGGAGGGGATTTCTATGGTATAGAACGTTCTAGAAGGATCCTCGAAGTACGACGGGGTCGTACTCCCGGTCCCGTTATACAACTCCCTGAGCTTGCTCGTTGCTCCCGCGAGCCAAAGCCGGCGTTTTCACCGGGCGCGAACACGGGCGTCGGGTTGTCTGGTATCGCCGCGACAAGATTACTTCGCATGCATTGCGGCTGAAGCGACGACATAATGCGATTACGTCACAAGTGCAACACACTTCGTCCTCAGCCACCCCCCTCCCTCCCCGTCACCCCTCCGTCGTTTTAACACTCACAAGCACACCCCTCAACCCCTCTTACACGGTTTGTCGCCCATCATCCTTCCCTCTTGCGAACCCACCCTAAGGCCACGGCGATACGCTTAAAGGCCTTCGTACCCAGCGCGACCAAATCCGGTATAGATTTTCGTACTTGCCGTCTAACCGTCAGCGGCCGAAGGATAAATTCCATTTCCGTGTTTCAACTGTTCTAAGAGCCCGGCTACTGTGCCGAAAGCACGTTAGACGTCGCGCAGTCCGTACGAGGCTTAGGTCCCGTTCACACGACTCCCGTTAGAGACCCGAGACGATCTGCATCCGCCGTTCCATTTTTGCATTCGCATACCGATTGTTTGCTTTCTAAACGTTCCGGGACGTCGGCCGATGCCGCCTAGTCGGATTGAGAAATTTCCTTGTGCGTGACGTGTTCCCCATTGTCTTCGTTTCTGGCGCACCGGTTCCGCCGTTCCGGCGACGCATTTCCTAGATGGTTTTATGCCTTCGACCATCGTCGATACGTCGTTCGCTGCCTTTGACGTTCATCGTATTTTCGCTGGGATTCCCGTAGGGCGTCTCTACGTTTCTCGTCGCCCCGTCTCCCTTTTATCCGCGATTCGTCCCTACTGCGATTGCGTGACGGTGACGACGATCGCTCCGGCGCTGTTTACACGCGGTATCTCAAACCCCGTTAACTGCACAATGATGGCTGCAACCTAGTTGCGCATTACGCGTATACGTGGTAACCACCCTCTTCCTCTCATTGCCAGAGAAACTGACGCCCGGCGTCGTGGCATCGGCTCTCTAGCTAGGTCGCTGACTATATATGCAGCATATGCGCGCATATGTACTTGCTATACATACGTAATGCATGGATGCATGTTGTGTTGTCTTGTTGGACGGCTGAGTAGGTGGCTGGGGATACCGTGGCTCTGCGGACACGGTTATACGCGCCGAATACGTTATGCCGTGCTGGCGCGTATGTGTATTATATACAGGGTGTTCGTTATTAAACGCACTGTAGTAACATCGTTGCATTCCTTGTCAAATTCCAAAGAATACGTGTATTTTCATTTTTTATTTCATATATCAAAATTTCGAGATAATCAAGGTTGAAGTTGCGGTAATGCGACCAATCGGAACGTGTTTAAACGGAGCGTAGATGACGTCCAGCCAGCCCGCAAGGCCAGCTTACAGGAGGCCAATAACACTAAGAGTATCGTCTCTTGTATCTTACTCAAATACATGCAGATAAACAGGGACACAACGACGATACTCTTAGTGTTATTGGCCTAGTGTAAGCAGGCCTTGCGGGCTGGCTCGGGACGTCATCTACGCTCCGTTTAAACGCGTTCTGATTGGTCGCATTACTGCAACTTCAACCTTGATTATCTCGAAATTTTGATATGTGAAATAAAAAATGAAAATACACGTATTGATTAGAATTTGAAAAGGAATGTAACAGTGTAACTACAGTTTCATAACGAATACCCTGTATATACATATATATATATATATATGCACACTGTGTGTCCTGTACGAGGGAAAAGGTATGTTGCGTATGGGAAATTATTGTGGCGAGGAGGACTGGGGAAGGACACAATTATATTCGTGCAGATCTGGCATTGTGAAATTTTCAGCAAGTCTCTATGGACTTTGCCTGGCCGTTTAGATCCTCCAATTGGCTACGGCTTGCCGACGCGTCCTTGTCTTTGGCGCCGCGGCGCCGCGACGATTCCGAATCGCTCGTCGTGTCGTTACGGAAGAACGACGACGGTAAATAGAGCTACGCCGGACCTCGAGACGCATCCGATCCGAGCACTCGATCTCGGGATGCTGTACGGGCATTGACGATTTTTCGGGAGCTACTGGACCCCACCTCCTTCCCTCCATCCTTATCTACCTCTCATCCTTGTATTTCGTATTTGGAGACGATTTGATAAGAATGGCACGTTGTTATCGAGAAATTTTTTTTTAATGAAATTTCGTGGAAGATTGAATATTTTTTACGTCACATTTTTTTTTGATTTCACGGTTGCTTTTGTGGTGGTTTTTTTTTTCGAGTAAATTTGGTTTTTGTTAATGGAATGATTAAAAAAAAATTTTGGTAATGCGAAGTACTACGGAATCGTAGTCGATCTCTTATCGTGTGGAATTTTCGATTATGATAAGGCAAATTTTGGAGAATCGTAATGGCTCTCGGCGCTGGGCGCCGAACGTGCCGCAGACTGTATCGGTGTCGCTATTTGCAGTAATGGGACTGAGCGTATCGAAACGGTCGAGTGGTCGAATGGATAGAGAGAGAGAGTGAGAGAGAGAGATGCTGGGAGATAGGGCGCGGATGGGAGCGGGAAGGAGACGGGTGGTCGGGAACGTAGCCTGGCATTACGTACGGTCCACGGACGAAGGAAATCGCATCGCCGCGCGGCAACGACATAACAGTATCCGGCGCCGCCTCGCCGCCCGTTCGACTGGTTTACTATTTCGCTTCGCGTCGCGACGCAATGAGCGTCCGTAATGGCTGGCGACCGGTGCATAGGAATAGGACAAATGCACCTCTTACGGATGCATCGTCGCGCGTGCACTCGGCGCTGCCGTGTAACTGTACATTCAATTTCCGCGACGACGGCGTCACTCTAGACTGACTTCCGAATGCCTCTTCGTGTCGGTTCGGTTCTCTTTTTTTTTTTCGGCTTTCCGTACGCTCGTCGCTTAGCAGAAAAGGCGCGCTTTTCGAATTCGAAATTCCTACTGGCATTTCTCCCCGCGACTTTACCCCACTGTTTACCTTCGTCATACGGTGCGTTTAACAGGCAGATTTATCATTGTGTGGATCTAATAATCGCGTGACTTACCGGTATCGTTATCGGTGATACTTTTACTTTATGCCGTGGCGACAGACCGTTCCGTTACGTGCGACCTACTATCTGTATACACGGGCAACGTTCCGTCTGCGTTCCCGTCCATTTTCACGTAAAATTTTTTTTACTTTGCTCTTATGGTTACCTTCTGCGTATCTGGTGACAATTTCTTAGGTTATGATGTGGCATTGTTATTATTATTTTTCTTTACAGTCACAATCAGGCTTCTGGTTTTTCGTGATGCAACCTAAAGTTCAGTTCGGTGCACTGGGCACTAGGTGGTTCTCACGGTTGTCTTCGTCTTATCGTATTCTTTTCTCTTCCATCGGTTTGTTTTCTTTTCTTCCCGGTTAAAGTTTTTCAACTAGCCGATTCGTTGACTTACTTAGTCATTCTCGCGGATAACGGAATTCCTTCCTTTCGGTAAAAGTCCACGGGAAAACTTGACGAAAGTGAAATTAATTGAAGTTCTGTGAGATACGTAGTTTTTTTTTCTCCTTTTGTTCCTGACAGCGGCATACTCGCTCACGGACTTTAATATTCGAATATTCGTAGATTCGCGGATTTTGAATTTGCCTATTCCGCGATTTTCTCTCATTAATTAGCAATCGACCATTAATGCACCATGAAACGTCTCTGTTCGCGGTCCATAATGGCAATGTCGTAATTTCCTCCTTTGCTTGCTTACTCGATATTCGAATCGTAAGGGAAAAAGCAAAGTCGACGAGTTCGACTTATTTACAGAAGTTGTCCTCGTTCCCATCCTCATCCAGCCGGCGCTCGTCCCCCGTATTCCTGCAATGGAAATATGTCTTTCCTTTTGTGCAGTAAATCTGCAATGCTCGACGGAGCGTGACCACGGGTATCGCAAGATTTTCAGTAAGAGTTTCAAAGAAAGCTCCAACTTTATTCAGGGTACAAGTTTTAACCTCTTCTTTTTCATTTTCATCTCCATCCAGCATCCTTGGCTCCATCGATCTTTATCTCGAGGTCTCCATTCCCGATTATCTCCGTGCACGGGGCTACCTTGGATAAGAATCGTGCCCGACCCCGTACGACTATGAGGACAGGTCAAAGTTCGATTTTCCAAGATTGGTAACCACGTTCACTTGGACCACTCTCTGCTGGGATACGTCTGCACTTTGAACTTTCCTGACGAACCTGGCAAGAGTGAAATGTCGAGGATGAACTAGGTGGGCGAGGAAGATTGAATGGGAGCGAGAGAGACGTATAAATGGATGGAGCTCGCGGGAAAAAGGTAAATGGAACGTGGAAAAAGGTGTGCGCGAAGATGGAAGCAGAGAGGGAGTCTGGTTCGACCCTCGAGAAGTTGAGGAAGCTCCGGTAACGAGGGAAACAACTGTAAGCGCCTAATGGCGTCTTCGGGAAACGGTCCAGTTCGCTGGGAATGGCTGAACGACTAGTTTGTTTCGAAATCCATTAACCCTCAATTACGATTAAGTAAGGGAGTGTCGTGTGCCGTTGCGAAATGATTCAGCGATAATTAAAGAAAATTAACAGGCCGAGGACGCTGGAACAGATCGGTTCGAGATTAGACTGGACCGGTCCATCGATCATCCATCCCGTGGACCTACCACAAGACGTACTATGTTTCCGCTGATTGAATCCCATCCAGAGAGGGTGGCATAATATAACGATAAAAAAAAATTGATAACCGGAAGTCCGAATTGTGAATTCTTGCTCGATGCCAAGGAAAAGAGTCTAAGCCAGCCAATGCGAGGATCGAATGATGATCGGTAGGTGCTGGATGGAGCAGATCGGTTTATACAACCCGATCGGTTTCTTGGTGGATGATCAGACGGGGGTACCGGTATATGGGGGTGGTGGGTTGTACGAGGAGGAAATAGAAGGGGAAAAGGCTCGAACCGTAATTATCTAATACCTAGGAGTGCCACGATGGAATGCCGTGTCGAGCTGTCATTTCGTGGGAACGACGGGGACACGCGGAAAGAGGAGACCCGGTAATTGCTCGAAGACGACGGGAGCGACGTCGAGGTCGACGCTGGTATTAGCACTGATGATGATGGTGCTGGTGGGTGGTACCAGGACGCGTTACGCAAGCTCTTTGAGTAGCGGCGAGGAGGTAAAACAACAAGTAGAGCAACATACCTCCGGACCGGCAAATACCCTACAAGCCAAAATCCCCTCCTGGTCCCACCTCCCTTTCCCCTAGGCGTACCCAAGATGGAAGAGGAGAGAGCTCGATAAATCCCTATAGGTATATCAGCATAAAGATCCCGTGACCCAGGGTCAACTGGTCCCTCCATTTGACTTTGCTCTCACCTAGACCCCCTCGGTCGGCCATCTCTCTAATCCTCCTCCAGGAGAATAGCTTGTCGAAAGTACCAAGAAAGGTTCTCGGCTGAACTCTATTTCGACAAGGGTGATTCTCAGCCCAACCTAACCTCACGGTTTCTATCTTGTCTCCGCGCAGTCCTGGCCCTTGTATTCTGAACACCCGGACCCGGCTGAAGACCTTGGAGATTTTTCAATTTGAAAATTTTTATTTTTTTTTTTTTAGTTAGGGGGGGTAAGTGATGTTTGTCGTGGTACACCTGACAGATGCGGTCTTACTTCAGCATGCACCCCTAATGTGGGTCATGCGCTAATGGATCTGACATAATGGCCCGGGGGTGAAGTACAAGCTGTCAGGAGAGCGATGAGAACACGAGAGGGCAAGAGAGAGACTGGATGAGTGGACTGGACGAGAGCGAGAGGGAGAGAGGGAGGAGAGGGGAGACCTACGGGGGTGGAGGAGAGCTGATCGCGTAACGATAGTCACGACGTGTTGGCACCCCTGTCATAATTCAGGCACCACGGCAATCAGTCAGGTTTCCCACGTCAGGTGGTTCCCGTTCCATTTCTCATAGGAAGCGACTAATGTCAATTCCATTTCCCACGATGACGTGGACGAGGACACGAGGCTGGTTCCACGTTATCGATGGCCCCTGCCGAACCAGGGGTAGGTACGGACGGAAGAGGATTGCGACCAGCATCGCCAGAATATACAGTTCAAGTAGGAAGACCAGTCGGACGATCAGGATCATTTTGTCCATGGAATCAACGACCGTGCTTACCGGACCAGAGGGTCTATTTCTTTTAAATTCCGGAAGTAGCCTAATCATTAGGTATTATTTATATTAACCGATATATAATTATTTCCACCCCCCCCCCCCCCCCC